GACCTTTTCCTCGAGAGTTTTCGCCATAAGGTATCTATCTCAATTTCTGCTAATAAATTAAAGAAGATGAACATGACGTAATGTTTAATTGGTTTATTTGTTTCATGGTTCAATTGTATGAAACAGATTCGCGTTAACACGATAAATTATTCATAGTAATGTCCATCTGTAATATGTCGACAGTATTCGTCTGGATATAATTAGGTAGTATAATCATATTAATTACACAAGTGAATGTTTTTTAAATCTCTTCTCTCTCTTTTTTTCGCTTGTTGTTTTTCTTACAGTTACATAAGAGAACAACATCTAGAATATACAATGTTCAATGTTTATTCTCTACCATATACAACGGAACAAGTGTGTGTTAAGATGGTTAAGTTCGTATTTGCATCGAGAATGAATTCATCATTGAGTCTATAAAACTACTACTTAGAGAGAAAAGATGTTTTTTTTATACTGACCACAACCACTTAAAAAAGAAATTTATGTAATATGTTCTTATTGCATAAATAAAACACAACAAGCCAAATTAGATTTATTCAAAAAGGAGATTATAACCTAAATTAAAGAAAGAGAAGAGATCTTAATGTTGACTATCTACTAAGAAAAAACCTCAATCTTGGTCATTTTCAAGGACAAAAAAACCAAGTCTTCCTAACTGAGATTATTTTTTATCAAAAAATTTCGAAGTCTTAATTACATCAAACAAACATCAGAGGACGGCCAAGTGCGAGTGAGTGCAAAAAAAGTGGTCTCAATTCGAAAAGAGCCCATGGACCCTTTTCGAAAAAAGAGGTGTTTTATGCATAAAACCACCTTTTTTTTTGGTAAAATATACTAGTCTCCAGTTTGAGTAAAATGTAAATATTAATTTTGCTAAAATATTTAATTTAAGTTGTATGCGTTCACGCTCTTTATAGACTTTCCAAATGATGTTCAACAGAAGAATTTTTGATTCCAAGGATGACTTCGCACTAATATCATTTTCTGTTAGACAATTGTATTAACTAAAGATCACCAATAGATTACATGTAAAACAATGTGCACGTACGTGATATAATGAAAAGTAGTTTTACTTGAGAGACAGAGAGACAGAAAGAGAGAGAGTGAGAGAATAAGACTAAGACACAAGATAAATTCTTTTTTTTATCTTTTTCGATTAATCTGCCTAATGTCTATAATTTTTGTCATGTAGAGTATAATTCTGAATTAATAACCAGTATATAATCGATTAATGTTTCATCGCACAAGAAAGGTATACATAATTTGATAAATTTTTTAGTTTCATGTTGAAAAAATGTTTAGCCTTACTGCTGAATTTATTGTCATCAGCAATGTCAGAGAAATGAATATTTATTTGAGAAGATGTCAGTATTAGAACTAAGAAAATCTAAATTTTGCTAGTAAGTTGTTGATATGAGATTATATATCTTAATAAATAATTTTTTTTCTCTCAATGATCACTGCTCAGTTTCGTGCTATAGTTGTTAAAACAGTTTCAGGTTACAGAACAACGACGGTAGTGTTTTTCTCTATTGTATTTAACATTAAGTTTAAGCTTATACATCATAGTACAACGTTAATAAGAATAGAGGGAAATATATTGTTCTATTCTGTTTAGTTGACACACACATAATATTAGAAGATACACATTCTTTTCTTTTGATGCTTGTAAGAAACATTTTTTAATACCTGTAATAAGCACATATCAAGTAAGACGAAAAAATACTACAACAAATGTTTGTTAGACAGGTGTAGAAGTGATCTCAGATTGTTTGAAGAAGAAGTGTACGATTTTTTATAGAACTAAAGCAGACAATGTGTAGAATTTTTCCGAGTTTACTCTTGCAAATGAAAAAAGTCGTTCGACGGGTGCGACGACTACTCGAAAATAGGTCCTCGCCAAGGGCTCGGACCCTCGAAAAATGACACTTCGAACTCTCAATATAAGTTTTCGCGGGGTTCGAGTCGTCGAACAGAGATGTTCGAGGGTTCCGAATCCTCGTTGCAGTCTCGGGTGAGCGCGGGCTTGGAAGTCTCGAACATTGCACCTTCGGGTGATGAGGGCTCGGAAGTCCCGAATAACTCGGTTCGATGGCTCTCTACCTATCTGAAATTCGAGGGCTCGAAATCGATATCGAACTCGAAGCTTTCGAAGAGTCGTTTTCTGAGGGTCCGAGCCCTGTACGAGGGCCGATCGAAAGCATATTTTCAAGCACTCGAAGTACCCCTCGAACAAGTGGTTGGGTAAGTGGGTCAGTCTGTTTTCTCGTTTTTAAAAACTGAATTTTGTGTTTAGTGATCATAGTGTATACGTGCATTTTAATAAAATTTAATCGATGTTGAATTTACTTGAGTTTATAAACAATAGATGTATTTGATAAACTGCTATATCACATGTATAATGAAGAATCTAATCAAGTGTAAAATATAAACTTTTGTGTGTATGACTGTCACGACATTAATTTTCCTTATTTACTTTAGAAATATATGATCACTGATCAAAGAAGAGATTGATAAGACTAATAATAATCGTCACACATACACACGTAATAAAAATCAACTCTTTGTATTTTTTTATGTGAATGACTATACACACAGACCATTAAACAAGTACAAAAGGGAGAGAGTAAGATGAGGTGCTATAACACGTATTTTGTTTGTGCAATGAATAGACATGTTCATTCATATCTAAATGGGTTAAAAACATCAAGTTAAAATGTTCAATAGTCATTGATGTCATTACACACCTCTGAATGAACAACTGTTGTCTGTATATTTATTAATAAGGACTCACAAGCTAAGTAAAATATGGTTTCTCTTTACAAACCAATTAAATAACATTGTCATATGAACTATTAACAAAATTCCATTGAAATTGTTGATCGAAGTTAAAAATACTCTGAGGATAATATAGAAGAAAAATTATTGACAACTTTTTTGTAGTTGAGATTATGTTATGTTATTCATAACTAACAATATGTACACATAAATTTACTCAATTTGATCTATCAGATTGAGAAAAACAGTGTTCAGTAGTTATTGCCTATAAAAAGCAAAATTTTGATTGTATGATGGATTTCTAACTACAATAAATGCATATCAGTTATATTCAATTATTATTATCCAACAAAAATTATGTTTTGTTCACGTAACAATGTCTATGGTACATTTAATTTTTTTTTGTACATAGACACATACACATATATCGAAGCCAATTACATGAACGAGAAGAAAAAAAAAGAATTGTATAATTTGTTTCTTTCTTTCTCCGATTGCTTCTAATAGTACTAATTTAATTTCAGTTATGTCTTTTTTCTTATATTATATATAGTCATAATCGTTTTGTCTCGCACTTAACCATTAGAACTTAATCTCAGTTATAGTGAAGATGAAATATTACTCTTTTCTTCTCGGTCGTCTGATTACATCATTATACAACTACAACACAATTGATCCTTGAATAGCATCCTATCGTCACTTGCTCGATTAAACAGCATCTGTCACTCACTATGTTTCCGTCAATTATATGTTATCGGAAATAAAACGATGTTTTTACTAAATAGAGTAATACAAATCCTGACAGACACATACACTCTTTCTCTCTATTTAATTTGCTTAGATCGTTGTCACTCTATCATCCGGAAGAAGAGAGATAGTTTTCTCTCTCTCTTTCTCTCTCTCTCTCTATCAGATGAATGAATCGTGACATTTTTTGAAGGATAAATTTTTAGTGACCAGTATATGGAAATTGATCAGTATTACATCCATAACATATTAGATATACTATTAAACATAGTATGTTATGATCTTTTATTTTTTGTTTATTTTATATATCGATGAATTGTGCAAGTGTGGAGTGGAAGAGAGAGAAAAAGAGAAGTGATAATCGGTTTTGTTTATATTGAAATATGGAAAAATGATTTGTATATAGAACAACTAATTGATGTTCAATAAAAAATATACTCTTGTTTCTTTTTTTGTTATGACGATATACACAATTGTATGCCTCGATGATACTCACACACATATATACACATAGTCATTATCTCTATGTTCGAAAATATGTTTTTAAATGTCTCCGAAACAATATTATATCACATAGATATTATTATTGTTTTTTGTTATGTAAGTGAACCATACATCACACTAGTAAAGAGTTAAGATTGACAATATAAATGGTGAAGAAAAGACTATCAGTGTAGACAATTATTTATTCAGTCAAAAATACATATAGGTTTGTTGAAAAGTAAACTATTGAGTTACTCTAAGAGAGATGAGATATTTTTAATTTTATTGATATCGATTTATGATGGTACTTCTCGTCTTCCGCACTTTGATGACTAGTTGTTGTTCAAACTCTAATATCGTTTATATGTTTAAAATTATTCTCTCTTTGAACATACTATACATGATTTAGTTGGTTTAAGCTTTTTCTTTTATATATTTTGACATATAGATGATAAAAATTCTCTTATTATTAAGTAATTATCAAATATCTCATGAGAGAAATGTATCATATCAAGCGATTTTTTTTCTCTTCTGCCTTTCAGTTATACTCTTTTTTTCTCTTTCATTTTTAAACATCACAGAAAATATTCTTGTGTCATGTTGTTATAGATATATATTAAAGATAATTTTGAATAGATTTTTAAAAAGTAATTTTGTGAACTTTTCAGAAATACTCGAACAGTTGAACTTTAAATGTCTTGTCAGACAATAAGAAATATCGTTAACGTTAATTAATTCCATCGGTCAATAAGCACACATTTTCTTGTTATCTTATCAGATCAGACTGCGTATAACGATTTTCAATCGTTTAGAACTAGTTGTTCATGTTAATCAATTTTAATAGCAAAAAAGAATGAGAATAAAAAAACCCACTATCAAACTTTATATGTTGTTGTTTTTTGTTTTTGTAGACTTGTATCTAACAGATGCATAAATGATATGTATCAAACACAAATTTACATCTTTTAAAACCTAAATATTTATTTGATATGTTGTTGTTAGTGTTAGTATTGATACCACTTGCCGTTACAGGCTTAGAATTAGGTAAGATAATCAAAAAATTTGGTTAACTACGTGATGTTGATAAGCTTTTCTGTCATTAACAGATACCTGTCGAGCTCCACTTGGAATGCAATCAGGAGCAATACCCGATACTGCCATACAAGCAAGTTCTTCATTAGATTCAACATTGGGACCACAGACTGCTCGGTAATAATTTGATATGATTATATAATAATCATATTTTATAACTAAGATAGTGTTTTGTGTTTCATTTTAGAATTCGATCTTCGTTACAAGGTGGCGGATGGTAAGTCATATAAACAAAAAAACGACGACAACATCAAATTCGTGTTTCTTTCTCCATATTAGGTGTCCCAAACGAATAATAAACAGTGAAAGTGAAGAATATCTCGAAATTTCATTTAACAATTTGACAGTCATTACAATAATCGAAACCCAAGGACGACATGGCCCATTTCCAGTAAGAATTAATTTTAATAGTTCATTTTACATAATATAAATTTATTTTTCATTCTAATTAGGACGATTATGTTAATTATTATCGACTCGAATACAAACGTGACGATAATTTATCTTGGATAAAGTACAAAGATTATCGAAAAAAAGAAGTATTTAATAATTCTCTTTTTCTATTAAACATTTTCATACTAATTACTTATCGAGTTATCTCCTAGATTCTCTACGGCAATTCAAATAATAATATAGCAGAAATGCGTGAAATAACACCACCAATCACAGCAACAAAATTACGTTTCATTCCGACAAATATGATGGACAAAAAGAAAAGAATGTGTTTGAGATTAGAATTGTATGGCTGTTTAAGTTCAGGTTGAATATTAAATTACTTTAACTAATTTTTTGAATAAAAACATTGTATTCTAACATTAGATCATGTTATTTCGTATACAATACAACAAGGTGAACAACGAACATTTGATATGGAATTTTTAGATGACACATATGATGGCGTGCAAAAAAATGGAATATTGACGAGTAAACTAATTCATAGTATTGATTTAAAAATTCTAAATTCAACTGCCGTTTTCTTTAGACGGTATTGGACAATTGTTTGACGGTGAAACTGGTACAGATGATTATCGTACAGATTCACAAAGTCTCAATATTCGTGGATTTGAATGGATTGGCTGGAAAAATGTATCACAACCAATTGATATTGTATTTTATTTTGATGATATACGAAATTTTACCGAACTTCTTATTCATACGAATAATATGTACACAAAAGATGTTCAAGTATTTCGTCGTATTAACATTAGTACAAGTTTGGATACAATAAATTATAAACAAAATATAATTGTGATCGGTTTATCTGAGGATAAACATTCAGAGAATGCACGCTATATTCACATTCCATTACAAAATAATGTGGCAAAATCGATCAAGATATCATTAACATTTGCGTCCAAATGGATATTGATTAGTGAAGTAAAATTTCAATCATTCCCAATTAAAGATAAATCTTTATTGACATTATCCTCCACCTCACCATCATCAGTAACAACGGTTGTTATACCACTTCAATTCATTATTATTCTAGCTGTCACATTATCAATTATAATTATATTTATTTTACTATGTTTTACGGCCTTGATATTGAAACATCGAAAAAAGCAAAAATTTAATCGGTAAGAAATGATCCTCATAAAACATTCTTGTTTGCATTATTTCTATTTTTAGTTATGGTGAAAAGTTAATATTGCAAACATGTTATTCAGATAATCCATTAAAACTACAAATACCAGAATTTGTTGCCTGTTGTAACTTGAATAAAGATACTCAGAGTTCGGGACGCAGTCAGAGTTCATATGGTGCCACTTCTGATCCATCCACATTTACTACACCAAAAACAACGGCACGTAAATGCATTATTGGTACGATACAAGAACAAATTCCATTATCTTTATCTTCACCACCATTAACACAAGATACCAATTTTTATGCTTCAACTGATATTGTTGCTGTAAATGAGACAACGCACTCAAATACTTATTTACGTGGTATCTGTGGAAATAGTCTCATGTTTGATTGTTTAAACCAAGGAATGAATCTGCAAAGAAAAATTGAAACAATTAATAATGAACAGATACAATTAAGTGAAACCTTTGGTAACGGGAGATTTGGGCAGGTAAAAAATTAACAGTAGAGTGTAAAATGACTTATGTGTAAGTAGTTTTTGATGTTTAGATATTCATTGGTTGTATATTGAATGATCATAAATACGTTTTAATACGAAAATTGGTTAAAGTATCATGTTTAACACGTTCACTATTCGAGCAAGAAACGCGTTTACTCTCAACAATTGAACATGAAAATATTGCCGGTGTCTTATATAAAACTCATGATGATCTATCGATAATGACAGAGTATACTGATCTGGGTGATCTCTGTTTATTGATGCATCGAATTAGTCAAAATGATAGAACAGCACGATTAGAGTAAGTTGACAAATTTTTTTCGATTTTAAATGTATAATAAGCGTTGTTATACTATTTTTAGTCACAGTGCAACATTATTTATTACATGTCAAATATCATCAGCGATGAGTTACCTTGAAATGAGAAATATTGTACATCGTGATTTAGCAACTAGAAATTGTTTAGTATTTAATAATTATTTAATTAAACTAACAGATTGTGCAATGTCATCATCACATTATGCTCATCACTACTGGATTATGAACGATTCATATTTGCCTGTGAGATGGATGTCTCCTGAAACACTCACAAATGTGAGTATAGAACGACAGATATTCATGTCTCCTCCTTTTAAATGTAAAATTCTGATTTTTTTCAAGGGAGAATATTCAACAAAATCTGATCTATGGAGTTTTGGCATTACACTTTATGAAATACTAACAATGTGTCATACGACGTTACCATACAGTCACTTGTCGAACGATGATGTTATTCTTCATACAAAAACATTAACTGATCAACAATTGCCAAATTTAGATATTTCTACTATATGTTCTGTTCAATTTAAAGAACTAACCGATCTTATGTACGCTTGTCTGAAACGCACGAGTACCGAACGACCATCGTTTCAAGAAATACATCTATTTTTACGTCGACAATCGTCACCTGGTATAACATACGCTTAATAATCACAATCGATGTTTTCATGCATATTGTCTATATTTCACGTCATAATTATATTGAATCAACGATCGAAATGTCTTGTTAATTATGCTATAGATAAATGATTTATTTAAATTTTTGTTCGCTTCTTTTTGTCGTTAAGTAAGAGAGAGAGAGAGTATGATTATTTTTATTATAATGACACTGAATGTATTATCTCAATTTGTCTGATTTTTTATGGCAGTGATTTTGTTTATTTGTTTTATGTTTTATAATATAATAGAGATCTGAAACTTTATGATGAGAAGGGTAAATCGAGCTACTTTTATAGCTGCTTTTCTGAAAACGGTATGACTTCCTAATCGACGCTGAAAACCGCACATTTGCTCCCAAAGACCAACAAACAGATTATACTGCAAATTCATCTTAGTTCGCCAAAAATTCAATGTCTTTGCAGATTTTTCAAAAACATTCCAACCCGAGATCTGTATCATTTACCAGGAATCAGAATTCTTGTACGTGCTAGAAGTCTACTACAGGGGGGGTAAAATTAATTTTCCTACGGATGACGCTATTTTCAGACTAGTTTTTAAGTAGCTGGTTTTCCACTCCGCTTGAACTTTATAGCAAATTTTCTATCCCATCAGATAGAGCAAGTGTATTGTTCACTATCTGAGTCGTTTAAAAGTGGGTTTTGGTTTTTTCATCTAATGTCTGCCTGGATACACACTGTGCTAGGCGGGGGCCTCAATCAACTGCTTTGCAGTGTGGTAATAAAAAATTCTGTTACTAAACAGTTTTATGAGCAATGCATAACTAAGGCCACGTCAGCTCATAGAAACCCATGAGCAGGGTTAGGAAAAGTATGTCTTGAAGAACGAAAGAGAAA